GACGACTGCCTCACCAGCGTCATAATGCGGCACAAAGAGCCCAAAAATAAGGAGCCTTCCACACCCGACTTACTTGACGACTCGGCCAACGTCAAGACCACTATAGACAGACACCGGCCTCGGTCGTGCGTCAACCCGAGCGCGGGCTACGACGTCTGCCCCAACAACAGCCGTATTGACTTGGAGGCCAACCGCCGCTGGTCGGGCGTGCAGCTCGGCTCCAAGCTGATGCAGGCCTTCGACCGCCTCGTCTTTGACGACAGTGACGATTACACAGATAGTTTAGAGAATAATAAGCCCGCCGCCAAAGCCGGCACAGATCCAAAGGTAAATCCTAAGGCATGTTTGGGGAAAACATTGTGTGCTTCGTTCTGTAGCGATTCTTTGTTTCACGTTATAGGTATTTGTTTTTTATTTGCTACGTTTTAAAGCTTTTTAGTTTGCGTGTTTCATTTTTTGCAGTGTTTAAGGTAATTAAGTTTTCTAGTTTGTTCGCTATTACACTGCCTTTGTTCTTACGTGTTTTAGTTGGTAAGATGTTGTTTTGTCAAAGGATTTGACGTAGGTATTGGTGATTCAATACTGTTTGTTACTAACCATTAGTTAATGTAACCCACGCACTACGCCTCCTAGCTGTGACACATTAGCCGTGATGTATTTTGAAATGATTTATAAGAGTTCTAGGTCATTATTGCAATATTTAAAGAAATGTATAAATCGTAGTTGGTAGGTTTTAATAGAATAGAAAGTAATCAAAATTATGTTAACTATAGACACGCCTTTTGACAAATGTAATATTAATAATCATAGAGACTTATAATTAGAAGATAGATCTTATAATTATGAGTATTTTATAATTGAATAGCCTCAGCTGTTATTTTATTCGCTTGAGAAATCTTTGTAATGTCACTACACAGATAAGGTTCTTGAACTTGCACTACCAAGATAAGAAAGGGCTTTGCTTTTTAACTATGAATTTGTTTGTTAGCTGGAGTGCAGCGGCGAGGAGTGGCGGCCGGGCTCCGCGGGCAGCTGTGCGAGCGGCAACACCGGCGGCGGCAGCAACACCGGCGGCAAGTTCCGCAGACTGCAGCTCAAGTGGGAAATGCTCAGTAACGCAGAGAGCCCCGGCACGCCGTCAGGTATATTAGAAAGAGAGGCAGAGTAAGAGAGAGACGAACAAAATTGATTCGATTTTTTAATAACGTCTACGATCTACCCATGCTTAATTTAATATCGTTTAAAATATCCTGTGCAATCAAAATAGAATTCACAATAACTATAATAAAAATAATTTAGCATGTCTATGGACAATTGCCAATGTCTTTTTGTGTCAACTGTCGATGAAGTCATACCGGAACACACTACACCCGGTTACTAAAAGTTCAATGTCTTCGCCTATTTTTTTCTTAGCGCACTGACTTTAAACTATTCCTATCGGAAGAGTACCTTCCATTGAAGATAGACAATAGACGGCAGACGCCATATTGGTCAAATGCAAATCAACTATTTCCTGCCTCTAACACTATGGAATTCTTTTACAAATATTTGTAATGTTTTTCTTCGACTGTTTTTATATGACTTTAAGATGTCTGTATTAATATTATTATGAGGAAAGTTTTGTATTTATTGAAATAACTCAACAACTACTAGGCTGATTTCAAAAGTTCTTTCTCCGATGAAAAGCTACATGAGCTATATTTTTTTATAATTTTTAATCACACTTGGGCGATAGCTAGAAATAAGTAAAACTAAATGACTACACATTCACGTTTGAGGGAGAAAGTTGCGAAGTTTTAGTATGTAAAATATGCTTTTAAACAGGTATTATGTGTAACTAATTTATTTGTGAATGATTGTTTAGGAGAGACGTCCCCAGCGGCGGCGCGAGGCTCCAAGATCCCACGGCCGGTGTCGTCGCCGGTTAGACCCGCGGCGCCGCTCGCCATGCTGCCCTCGCCAGCCAAAAACGCGCAACGGTAAAATAAACTATTGATAATTACAATTGAATTTAACTGCTTATAAACTGGCCAGTACCTACTTAATATCATGAATAATACTGGTCAGATAAATTCTCATAATTGTATCATTTCTTTAGTAACTTTGCAAACTATACCGTAAGATTTGATTGTTGGAATCTTACCATCTCACTATTATCATAAATGCGAACGTTTAGATTGATGGTTGCTTGAGTTCGTAGCCTAAACTGCTCCGTTGAGCAGCAAATTTTATCAAGATCCGTTGAACTTGATAAAATTTGGCATAAATGTGGAGGATAGTCTGGAAGAAAACAGGCTACTTAGTTCTGTTTTTTTTTATATCCGCGGACGGATTCACTGGCGATACTTATTACAAAATAAAACATGCAAGGTGATGATATTTTATGGTTCTTTACGTGACAAAATAACTTAATTGATTACAGAGGTATCCCAGTTCCTGTTCGTAAGAGTACATCACCCACGACAGCAAACCAACGCACCATTCCCAGGGGAACTAGCAATGCGAAGAAACCTCCGCAGCCCGCGAACCGGTAAGAACAACACACGATTGAAGAAATGAACGAATAAAGAATGAGAGCTGAAAACGAATGAACGAATGACTTCTCAGTTACCTCTAGATAAAGAACGAATGTACTGCACAAGGTGGTGGAATTTTCTTTTTAAAGCTTTTCAAAGTTATTTCAATTTCTATTACCTATCAGTTGTCTAATTAGTAGTTTGGTTAATTTTAAAATTATTTTTATTTGCAATATTATGTTTTGCCTTTCACGTTATATAATTTGTTTTATTAATAGCGTTGGATTTTAGTGTTTAAACTTGAATCAGAAAAAAATAAATCTCTGAAACTGAGAAACCTTAGAAAATCTATTGAAATGTTTTTTTTTATTTCTTTTATACTAAAATCCATCGTGACGTCACCGCTTTTTATATCTGCACATATCTCCAGAGCGGCACAGGAGAAGCCGGCGAGAAGATCCCTCGGGAACAAACCAACTACAAACAAACAACATACCAACGACGCTGTTGCTAAAAACACGTCCAATGCTAAGAAATCTCCGTATGTATATTTAGATGGGATAAAACTAACTCGACTAACTTGTGCCGTTTATTTTCTCGCTAATATGTTTTAACAGCATGTTTACTTTGTTTAAAAATATGCATATATAGAAGCTAATATAAGCCGGGGTAATATCGGGCTATCGCGTTTTTCATCTATGCTTGGATTGAAGCTAAATCGATGTTTACTAAATACGAGAATATAAGAAATCTACGATACTTATTCATGTGTTGATCAATGTTTTATCAGAGTTTGTATTAGCCTGTGCTTTTATGCCATTTTATATATTGCGTAAACATAATTTAACGTTCTGCTAAGGTGATTTAATTGAACTCACAGAATTTTTTTAAATTAAAAGAACGTAAACTTGTAAATTTCATAGGTTTAGAGAATACGAGTTGTCGCCCACAAACTTCGTTAGCTTGGAATTTAAAAAAAAATGGTTGTCTATAACATTCCCGCGTGCATCTACTTTTTACCAGCTACCTTCCAGTCAGTCCCATCCAAATCGATACACCCGTTCCAGAGATAGCGGTCAGGTCGCCATTTTGACAGCGCAGAATTTAAAAAAAAGTACCCTATAATATGTCCGTCTATGTCCATTATCCTTCAGTGAAAGTCCGGTCGAAATCGGTCTAGCCATTTCGGAAATTACCCGAAACAAACGCGGCTTGCGGACAGACAGACAGACATACAACGCAAATACATCATCTTCCCAAAATCCGGAATTTTTCTTTTGATATTACACACAGACACACCAATTTTATAATATGTATAGATGTATTTCACCAATGGTAAGCATGTGTCCACTGCGCAGGACGTCACGAGTGG